TTGTCGGAGTGGGGAGGGGGGGTTCTATCGTGCTCCTGAAGACCACTATGGAACATTTGCAAAATCGACGTAATTTAATTGTGCATGCACCCTGTATAAAATGTCCATCACATCTCGTCGAACTTCAAAGTTACTGCAAACATCGGTAAATATTAAAATTTGCACAAATAATAGCGTTGTCGAATAATATTTTTCACATATCTTCCTCCCTATATAATTGACGAAACCTGATAGTGTTCAAATAAAATTATCCCATCTTTAACGGTTTTTCAATTATCGCCAATAATTTAGTCACAAAAACGAAAATTTTAGATTTTTTGCCTATTAACGACACATCCTGTATATGATACAATCATTGTTCGAAGCCCTGGATTTTCCAAGCATGCCGGTTCAAGAATTTTTTGAAAATAGTAAATGGTTCTCGAGAAAATAAGTTGTTTCTGAAACCATGCAGTGCGCCGTAATAATCAATGACGTCATGGCGTCTTGACAGCCCCGAAATAGCGATAGATTTTTTCAAATATCCCGAGCAGCGTATGTGATAGACGAAAACCGCAAATACAAAAATTGTAGCTCTTAATGGGGCCTATGACACCGTTTGAACCAATTAGCCATATTTTTTACGATTTTTGATTTGCGGCTAATAATTTACTCAGTAAAAAAACAATGTTCTAGGTCATTTAAATTTACGCCTATGATTTGAAAACCCTGTATGTAATCGAAAAAATGCCTGAAGTAAATGTTATTGCACTGGATCTTCTGCGTCTGCCCGTTAAAGAATTTTGGAAATTCGGATGAACGATAAATTACCAAACAAAAATTTGAAATATATTTAAAAAATACTTGGTAAAATTAATTTCTACAGTTTAAATGTGGACACGGACTTTCACTTCTCTGCTAAATTTGAAGTTGATATCTGCAAATTTAGGAGACTTAACACATTCCTCATTTAGCACGGAATATCGAGAACACCCTGTACAGTAAGTGAAAACCTTAAATGCAAAAGTTTTTGCTATCTATACGGATAGTCCGTATATAAAAGAAAGTGAGATCTGAATCGTAGTCTTTCTGTTATAACCAATTTTCAATAATAGGGGAACCTTTTTTTCATTTTTTGTGAATTTGCGGCGCACCCTGTATATTTTTGAAAAATTGTCACGAATAAAAGTTTAAGGAGCCGTATCTTCTACTTTTTCTGGTTCAAGAATTTTTTTGGTGTCGTAAACAGTTTTTGAAAAATTATGTTTTTTGTATACACGCGCGATTTTTTATTTTTTAGAACACTTCCCGACCCCCAGCCCCCCCATTTTCAATAGGTTCCGTCACGGGGCAAAGCTGCATACATGTGCCAAATATGAAGTCGATTGCTTCAAATTTCGGACACTTATCGTATTTATGCCTCGCTTCTGTTATATTAATATTAATATTTTGGAAAAGCAGTGTTTGTCATACTTGGGTTGGGTCTTTATCAATCTATTTTATTCTGTTTTATTTTGGTTTTGTTTTATTTTATTTTTTGTTTTTTATTATTTCGTTTATGTGAATCTTATTTTATATTTGGCGGTTGGCCCGTTGATAAATAAATAAATAAATAAATAAATAAGTAAATGTAATTTATGGATATAATTTTGTGGCTTTAGTCTAAAGCCAGAGCTTTCGAAACTCTTATAAATATCAATAACATTTTTTTTAATCGATAGAAAAATGGTTACTAATCAGTAACTTTCTTTATATTAAATCCGTAATTACAAAAATTGTAGCTCTCGATATGGTCTATAGGACTATATATAAAACTTATAGCCGGTTTACTATGCGAAAGAACGATTTTCAGGATTTTTTAGATTTTCCTCGATAATTGAAAAACCCTGTATATAATCGAAAAAACGCTTGAAATAAAAGTCATAATTCCCGGATCTCTTGAGTATCCTGGCTCAAGAATTTTGCCGATCGGGTAAACAGTTTTTGGAGAAAATAATGTTTTTCTGTGACCCAAAATAACCCAAAAAAAATTTTTACAAATTTTAAAAAATACTTGGTAAGGTTTGATTGTACTTAATTTCTGGTGTTGAGGTATGGGTATGGACTTCTACTTCTACACCAAATTTGAAGTCGTTAGCTGTCAAATTTGACACATCTGTTATATTTTTTAATATAGTACAGAATATTCTGAACACCCTGTAGAATATGTGAAAACATTAAATACAAAAGTTTTACCTTTCGGTGCTGGCTATATAGCCATGTAAAAGAAACTGCCCACTACAACGGGGTTAAGAAAAATAGAACGTTTAGTAGTAACCAAATTTTCATCTGTGATTTTTTGCGGCGTCTTTTTATGAATGAATATCACAATATTTTCAAGCGTATTAGTTAAATCGTAGCATTATCTGAATGTAATAAAATGAAATTTTTTATTTCATCTTCTACAATAGGGTTAAGAAAAATAAAACGTTTATTAGTAGTAACCAAATTTTCATCTGTGATTAATTGCTGATTGTTTCTGAATATTTCTTGCGCCATCTTTTCATGAATGAATATCACAATATTTTCCATTACTATATTTCGATTGATTAAATCGTAGCATTATCTGAATGTAAATTTCCATATTTAATACGAAAAATAAACCCACGTTATTGTGGATCTTGTTCTGGCTTATCTCAGGCGCACACAAAAACCGAAAGTATACGAAACGGTTCGTGACAGATTCGCGCCAACGAGCACAGCCTCCCGGGATTTGATAGCGTTGAACATAACCGGCAAGAGGCTGCCGATAAATTTCGAAAAGCAACGACGCGTGAATTGATATCGGTGGCAAGTTCCCGGTCGCACAATGGTCCGTAATAATGGAACCCCCCCACCGGTCCTTGAATGATAAAAGTTGCTTTTGTACGGAGGCGTCAGATGGCCCAGAATAAATTAACGTTGACACTAAGCCGATTAATGTTTTCGTTTTTTTTTAAACGTCTGTTTGGCCTGGTACGTTTACGCCGCGGGGTGGGGTGAGCGCGGGGCTGCTTCGCTAAGAGAATCGCTAAATTGTTGGTCGCTGCAGGTGGATAAAAAGCGAAAACGCGCCGTTGTACGCCGATATTTTGAGATCCACCTACACGGTTCATTTTGAAAGATGGTGTAAATACAAAAGTTTGAAGATTTTTGCTCTATTATCGTATGAAAAAACAAACGACGATCGCAAGCTGTCAAAATGACAGCGACATCTTTTTTTTGAAACGGAACGCCCTATATATTATTAGCTTAAATCGTAGATTTTTTTTTCCTGATTTGAAAAACATATAGTTTATTTTTCAGTTTAAAAATGATAATCATTCGATTTCTGGACAATAGCCATATTATTAAAAAATGGTCAAGTCGGCCTTGATAGCAACCATATTACCTAAAGGGTGATTCAACAAAGGTTTCCACATTAAAATAATAAAAAAAAAACATTTTTATTTGGCATCGATTCTGCAAACACGCGGCGCTGTTGATGATGTCGAGGTTTCAACTCCTGAGGTATTTGGACTTTATATGGGTGTAGATGCAAGTCTTTTGTTAAAATTCGCTGTGTGGTTGAATACGTAAGGCCCACTTGCTGCGATCGATGACGAATCGATGTGTTTGGATCTTCGGCTCCACTTTCGCGAACAATGGCAATATTTTGATCTCTCCGACCTGCACGAGCACGTTGAGGGACTTTGAGGTTAGTTACAGATCCGGTTTGCTCAAATTTTTGAACCACATTCCAAATTGTCCTCTCAGAAGGTCGATTTTGACCATTTTCATAATGGGCTTGCACAATTTTTACACGTCGTATGACTAATTTTGTCTATGTTATGAGGTTATAAATCTCATATGATAATTAACAAATACAGTGACGTTTCAAAAATATTTCAGATTGTAATGCGGAAACTCTCGTTGAATCACCCGTTATGTTTGCAATTGTTTTAACAATGTTCTATTTTTGACAACTAATCAAAACTAAAGATCTGCAGCGTATGTTAAATAACTTAAGATGTTTCAAATGGGTTATACTGAGGAAGGTGAAAGCGCCAAATAATAAAATTTTCCACATAACCTCTTTTACATAGGACAATATTTCCTTTCAATTTCCTACACGATATTGAGTCTTTCTTTTATCACCTGTAAACTTTCAGTTCTGTTTTAATTTTTAAGAATTCCCACAAAAAAATGTCACAAGGTTATTTATATATTCAAATGAAGAATGGAAAACGTCAAATCGTCAAAAAATTGTAATCGATGATTACATGTAATAATACATATCATTCGACTTTTCAATTATCATCATTCTGCCACCCGCCCTACGTATTTTTCTAATCAGGGTTAGTTAGGATAAAAATTTTGAGGAATTATGTAGATAACAAATTATTAGAAGCTATTTCTACGTTCAAAATTTAGTAATTTTTAAATGGCTTTAATTAATCTTCTTTTAATGATAATCATACTTTGTTATATGGTTTTGGAAAGCTTAAAGACTCAACTTTAACAATATAAATTGTTTTTTGTAAAAATTCGCGAACATTATACGGAAATTTAATTTTACTGAAAGAAGAATTTTGGGAAACAAAAATAAAAACAGCGACCTCTTAGAGTTGAGCTACAGGGCTCATGTTTGGTGAGGATTTTTTTTATTACAAAAAGAAACATTGGAGAGAGTAAGTTCAGTTCAGTTTCAGTCAATCTCAATTCAGAAGTTTTATGAAAATGGTCATTTATATTTTCTGATCCTGTTCAAATAAGTGACATTCCCTTTAGCTACGTCCCGGTACAAAATAGACATGTTTTGTCAGCAGTAACTTTGATGACAAAGGTGTCATAAAGGCATAATAAAAAAAGGCCCTGTGGGCCCTTCTGAAAGAGTAATTAACGAAAACATTTTTTGTTGATTCTAGAAATTAAAACATCAAACAAAGAATTGGCACTTTTTTCATTATATTTTCTTTATTTTTGTTTTATTTTATCGACCATGACAACGTTTTTCTCTTCAGACCTGAACTATTGCGGAACCCACGAACCTTGCCTGAACGGCGGCACGTGTGAAAACACCGCCCCCGACAACTACTTATGCACCTGTCCCGAAGGATTTTCCGGCGCAAATTGCGAGGTGGTGGACAACCCTTGCGCCCCCGCCCCTTGTTTACACGGCGGGACGTGTCTCGAAGCCGGGGGTTCCTTTAGCTGCGAGTGTACAGCCGGCTGGATGGGACCCACGTGTAACATCGGTAAGTGCATTAAATAATTCTATTACTTTTTTAATTTACCCAATTTCGTATCCATTGTATCAAAAAAGTTAGATTTGGTTAGTTTTGGTTAGAACTAGTAACTATATAATAATAATATTATATCAAACTCTTGACTGGAACCTTCGGCACTGTACTAACACACAATAACGCGTTTTACCACAAAAAAAAATTAGTTAAACATGTAATAGTAGAAAATTAGATGCCTACGAAAGCTTAGAAATTAATTAATATATATATATATATATATATATATATATATATATATATATATATATATATATATATATATATATATATATATATATATATATATATATATATATATATATATATATATATATATATATATGATGACACTACATTCCGGGATATCATCCGTTCGCTCGTTGAACTCCGACTGGAATCCTGCATCCGACTGGAATCCTGCAAATCCTGCGTCCCACTGGAATCCTGCAGGCGTTTCGCCAAAATCTCACTTGGCATCTTCAATGCTCGCGCTCCGAAAACACTTCGACACACTTCGGAGCGCGAGCATTGAAGATGCCAAGTGAGATTTTGGCGAAACGTCTGCAGGATTCCAGTCGGAGTTCAACAAGCGAACGGATGATATCCCGGAATATAGTGTCATCATCATATATATATATATATATATATATATATATATATATATATATATATATATATATATATATATATATATGTTTAGCTTTTGGTTCTTGGGTTATAGGTCTTTGTATTAAAAGCGATTAAAATTTTTTTTGTCCATATATTGACGTTTCGGTCTTCTATGACCTTCTTCAGAAAGGGGTACAGTCTAAAATTATGTTATAGTACAGTTCTTTTTTTTTACATATACACAACGGAATTACAAAGAACCTTACCAAAAAGAGACAAACACAAATCTTAAAATTGAAGAGGTAGCATCATATGAAAGTTTATACTTTAAAAGCGTTTGGTTTTGTCATAGTGCCTAGAAATATTATTGTTTTGGTTTTTTCCAACTATGAGAATAAAAAAGTCATACCCTTGATAAAAGATAGAAGTCCAACAAAAAATGATTTGTATACGGCACTCACACACATAATACACACAAATTTAACGAAACAGTTAAAATATATATAAGAGTTTAAAATAATAATAATAATAATAATAATACCGATACGCGAGGTTTGCTCGCGTCGACGTTACTGTAAAAACATCGTACGATGCACGATTGTTTTGGTGCAAGGTTCAGAGGATATACAGAGTGTTTTTGTTAATTTATAATTTTTTTCTTTTATTTATTTTAAATTATTTTTATATATTATAATTTTATATTAATATATCCCTATGTTGTTACTTCCATTGTTGTTTTATTTCAGAATGTTGCAATATAACTTACTGAGATTGTTGGTGTCTGTTTTCGAATTTATAGAGTTCTTATTTTTTTGGATCTCAACCATTTCCAGAATTTCCCTTTTTTTTGTATTATTTTCGGTTTTTAGAATTTTTACTTTCGCAAAGTTGAAAGAATGCTTGGTTTCCGCGCAATGACTCTTCAGGGCAGTCGTATTTTTTTTGTCGTATTTGTGACCATTAATTCTGTTTTTAAGATACTGGCTTGTTTGACCGATGTACACACCCTCACAATCGTTGCAAGGTATCTCGTAAATGACGTGACTCTTCTTTTCGTCCGGTATCTTGTCTTTTAATTTACTGAAAATGTTTTTTACCAAATTGTATCCTTTGTGAGCAATAGTAATGTTGTGATTCATAAAAATTTTGCTAAAATTTTCGGACATACTGGGTATATAAGGAAGCGAAAGATAATTTTTTTTTTGTTTTTGTTGGGTGTTGCTTTTTTGTTTAGTTTGGTTATAGAATAGGTGTATACGTTTTTTGAAAATGGTGTTAATTAATCGTTCCGGATAGTTATTTAGTTTTAATGCTTGTTTTGCTTTAGTAATCGATTTTTCTCTGAAATCCGGATCAGAGAGTTTAATTGCACGGTCAGCCAAGCCAATAATTACGGATTTTTTTTGCGATATAGGGTGCTGGGAGTTAAAATTAACGTATCTGGAAGACCAGGTCACTTTAGTGTACCACTCGGTTTTAATTCCTTTTTTTAAATTATGAAGGGTTAAATCTAAAAAGTTGATTTTACTTTGGGACTCTATTTCTATTGTAAATTGTAATTTCTGATGGTAGCTGTTGAAGAGTTGAAGAATTTCGTGTTGTTTGTTTTTTGGTATTGCCGTTATGCAATCGTCTACGTATCTGTAGAAAAAAGGTATGTCAAAAAGGGCATTGCTAAGGACCGACTCCTCCAAATCTTCCAGTACAATTTGTGCGATGGCGCTGGAAATTGAAACTCCCATGGCGCATCCGTCGATTTGTTGATAAAAAACTTTGTTGTATGCAAAATAGGTTGATTTTAGTGTTATTTCGACTGCTTCTAAAAAGTCATCGAGCGGAATGTCGGTAAAGGTTTTGATGTTATCCCATTTTTTGATGATTACTTGCTTAGCAATATTTATTGGAATGTTGGTGTATAGAGAAGCAACATCTAATGAAACTAGGATGTAATCGTTGGGTAGAGAAATATTTTTAATTTTGTTTTTGAAATCAAAAGAGTCTTTAATATAGTATCTATTTTTATGTATAACGTTTTGCAAGATGTTCTTTAAAAATTTTGAGAGTTTTTCAAATGGTGATTGGATACATGATACTATTGGTCTTAGAGGGATGGATTCCTTGTGAAGCTTGGGTAATCCATAAATTCTGGGTGGCTGAGAATTAAGAATTTTTAAGCTTTGCGCTGTGCTATGGGAAATGTATAACTTTTTTTCCCAGGAGGACACTAAGTCGTTGTTCTTTCTCTGAAAAATAGCTGTTGGGTCGTTTTTCATTTCTCTGTAGGTGGTATTGTCTTTTAGTAGATCTAGCATTTTTTTGTCATACTGAGCGTCCGTCATAATAACTGTTTTATTTGTTTTATCTGGTATCAAAATTTTGAGTTCTTTATGTTGTTTCAGGAAACGTTCTGTTTTTTTAATTTTAGCGCATAGTTTTGAATTTTGTTTATTTTGATCTGTTTTTTTTGGTTTTTTGTTGAATTTATTTTTGTAATTAGTTATTATATTGCAACATTCCGATCGCACCCCGTCCCTAGTTTGAGTGTTAAGACCGTTTAAGGAAGTTTCTATACCTGCAATTATGTCACCGATTGGTAACTGATCGGCTCGTTCTAACGGTGTAGCAAAATTTGGACCAAGACTCAAAACTTCATTTACGTATTCCGGAATAACGGTCTCTGTTAGATTTTCCACCCAATCGGTGACACAAATATCTGGATTTTTGTTTTTTTTGTATAATTGTTCGAATTTCTTAATGTTTTTGTTTTTAATTTTTTGGAACAAGAATTCGGTTTTTTTTGTTTGTCTGTCGATCAAAATTGTTGATATGTTTGCAGGGACTAGAGTGGTGAGCTTTTCTATAAAACCGTCAATTTGCCTTTGTAGTTTTGAGATATTTTTAGTTGTGTCCGTGATTAAAAGATTTATTGTATTTAGCACAAAATTTCCCATGATGCCCTCTCTGAATTTCTTTTCGAGATGTTTACAATTAAAAGTGATGTGTTTCATTTTAAAATTGAGAAAAATGGGGGTTACACCGTCGTTTTTGCACCGAAGGAGGAATATTCTTCTGTTCTTCTGTTTGCATAGTTGTGTTACTGATTTGCAGTATAATTTCAAGGTTCTTGTAGTTCCCTCGCCGAAAGTGTTAGAGATGTATTCGTAGGTAAGCATATTTTCACCCATGCTGTATATATATTGTTTATATTTTGTTTTTTCTTAGACCTTCTCTATATTTATGTTTAGCTTTTGGTTCTTGGGTTATAGGTCTTTGTATTAAAAGCGATTAAAATTTTTTTTGTCCATATATTGACGTTATATATATATATATATATATATATATATATATATATATATATATATATATATATATATATATATATATATATATATATATATATATATATATATATATATATATATATATATAAATGTTGGTCTAATATTTAAAATAACCGAAATATTAGCATATTTATCCTTTTTGACAAGTCACCAACGTCCGTTCAAAATGAGTTTGTTATAAAATTGCATTCACACATTTAAAAATCTTAAAAATGTATATTGTGGGCAGGAAAAATAGTAGAGCAGTTTTAAAAGCTGCCCACAATGTATATTAAAATGAAAACAAGTTCATTTCTATCGAAGATCTGTATATATCGGAGTTAAAAATATACGAGCAGCTTCGTTGAAAATTAATCGATTTTCCCATTGATTCATAAACGAAATATACAATTCGGCTGTCTTAATTTGCATAAAAATACTACTACTTTTTTAATTTACCCAATCTCATATCCATAGTATCAAAAAAGTTACCAATAGTGGTATACCCTGTAGATCTAGTATATATAATATTAATAATAATAATATTTATTTCGCAACAAAATAAATTAGATAGTATCACAAAACTTTCCTAGCCTTATGGTTGCAAAAAGAGAGTTGAAAACAGTTACAAAAAGTTCAAGTTCAACGCCTAAATACTGAAAGCAATATTCACCGAACCCGGAATAAAAATACTTTGCCTCTGCTCTTCTCTCTAATAATTTCCACATTAAAGATATTAAGCAAAGCACAAAATACACTTCACCACAATTTTCCAATATAAATAAGGCTGAAAGCAATCCCGCAATTGCCACTGTTGTCCTTCCTTATCAAAAATTCTAAGGAAATATAACATCAAAACTTGATTTACCACTTGTCCAAAAATCTCTTAACATCTTCGATCGGTCAAAGACAAAATTCCATTTGAGATGCCAGGTACAGATACAGCATTCCATGTATATGCGGCAAAGTATACATTGGAGAGACCGGACGAAAAATATCATCTGGGCTCAAAGAACATGAAGGAGTGTTACGTCTTAAATTAAA